TAGTGAAGGGTTTTATTCCCTCCCTAACTTCAGGGGAAAATCTCTACCTGGGGAAACAACCTTTCTCGGAGAGGTGACCTTGGTTAAAACACATAGTGCCAAGAAGGTGAGCAAACATATTAAGAACAGTATGCCATATATGCCAGGTCCCTTGAAACAGCAAGGATGGACTGGCTCCCGGCAGTGTCTCCTGCCGCCCAGGGTTGAGGGCCTCCAGGGAGCTCAGCAGGGCAGTGGGTGAGTGGGAACCATAACTCACATGGTCAGGGGCTGTCTCCCGGGAAAGGAGATCCACAGAGAGTCCAGGGAGCCCCACGGGGTCCAGCAGTACGATATTCCCGAAGCAGGAGCCACAGAATCGGGGGGACGTTGGGCAGTTTTCTTATGAGAGCAACACCCCAAGAGGTTCTGGAGGGAAGGCCGACTGAACAGCAGTAGCTGGACTAGAATCGTGGGTTCTTTTCCCAAGCAGGCTGGCCCTGGGAGCCCCGAGTGCTGAGATGGTTCGTGATTACCACAGCTTCCTCGTGGTTCTGACATAATTTCTGACACTCAGGCCCCGTGATGGTTGCTTTTGCTTCTCAAATCCACCACAGCCTTGCATCCAGCCACTCCCCTGCCTTGAAAACGGGAGTGTGGATGAGGGTTTCACTCCCTTCACACGCGACATGGAGGCTGACGCGGCACGGAGGCTGACGCTGCACGGAAGCAGGCCTTCTTAAAAGGCGTGTTGTGCAAAGGAGAAGCAGGTCTTAGACTTACTCCATGTCTGTCACTGGGAAAATACAGGCCCTGGGCTCCCAGGGAAAAGTTCTGAAGGGTTATAGTTGGGCTTAAAAAGATGCTAATTGTCCACAAGCTTTCATTATCGCCTGCCCCTAGATAAGGTGCCTAGATAAGCTGCCAACAATGAGCACAGAAATAATCGGGCCTTGGCACGTGGTAAATAAATGCTCAGCACTGTGGCTGGAAGGCCTCCAGGTGCAGGGTTTCCCCTCCATTGACTATTCCTTTAGTCCAAGAGGAAGCGACACAGGCTCCCACTTAAGAAATGCAAGTGCAGTAGTGGTCCCAGGCAATGAGAAGAGGTTAACCTGGGGTGGTGGGCAAAGCTGCTAGTGATGGTGTTTTCTCAGCCTTGAGAGCAAAGATCTTTTCTTCCCATTACCAGGGAACAGGCCGGGCCAGAGGCTGCTACATGTGCTGACAGTGGCATTGTCCGTGGGCTGGGGCTCTATTCGTGGGCTGGAGCTCTGTCCGTGGGCTGGAGCTCTGTCCGTGGGTTGGCGCTCTGTCTGTGGGCTGGAGCTCTGTCCATGGGCTGGAGTGCTGTCTGTGGGCTGGAGATGTCCGTGGGCTGGAGCTCTGTCCGTGGGCTGGAGATGTCCATGGGCTGGAGCTCTGTCCATGGGCTGGAGATGTCCGTGGGCTGGAGCTCTGTCCGTGGGCTGGAGATGTCCGTGGGCTGGAGCTCTGTCCGTGGGCTGGAGATGTCCGTGGGCTGGAGCTCTGTCCGTGGGCTGGAGATGTCCGTGGGCTGGAGCTCTGTCTGTGGGCTGGAGATGTCCATGGGCTGGAGCTCTGTCTGTGGGCTGGATCTCTGTCCATGGGCTAGAGATGTCTGTGGGCTGGAGCTCTGTCCATGGGCTAGAGATGTCCGTGGGCTGGAGCTCTGTCTGTGGGCTGGAGATGTCCGTGGGCTGGAGCTCTCTCTGTGGGCTGGAGCTCTGTCCATGGGCTGGGGCTCTATCTGTGGGCTGGTTCTGTATCTGTGGACTGGCACTCTGTCCGTGGGCTGGGCTGTCCGTGGGCTGGTGCTCTGTCTGGAGAAGGGTCTGTGTCTCCACCCGATGGCCCGGGAGAGCCTGTGCTGACCCTGCTCTTCCGTGCCGTGATTCCATCTGTGGGGACGTGGTGGCGAGAGCGGGCTAGGCCCCCAGGCGCGGTCTCCACGTGCTGCTGTCAGCCAGCAAATGCGTCCTTGCTGATGCGGTGACAGTGCTGAGGCCGGGGCCTCACGCGCGGGGTCACTTGTGTGCTCATCTGCTGAGAGGACTCAGATCTTGGTCCTGACCAGGAAGGCCATTCCTGATACATCGATAAGTCAGGAGTGACAGATGCCGCCTGGTGTGTGTTCAATGACACTGTTTTAGTAAAGACAGCTGTCTGATGTGTGTGCTTGCAGGTGTGACCAGACACTTCTGGATGGAAACACTTAAAATGACCTCGAGGAGGGGAAATTGGAGGGACAATGGGGCATTTTACTACATTGGCACATTTTTAAAAAATGGGACAAGGTTAAGGGATGATTCTTACTTTTCTGTATTTTTCAACTAAAAGGGTAAAAATTACATTGCAAAAATACAAAAAAATAAAAATAAAAGAGGACTAGGATCTGATAGCAGTCTGCCAGGGCTGGGCACCAAGCGAGCATGTGGCCGTGCAGGTGGAAGGACTTAACAGCACAGGCTTGCAAACTGCCCGTTCTCCCTGCTTTTTCCCAAAAGGAACTCAAAGATATCTGAGAGACAGTGTACGTGACAGGCTCCTATCTGCTCTGCCCACCGACAGTTCATTCACGCCTTCAACATTTATTGAACACCTACTATGTGCTGGTTATGTTGTAAGTTTCTAGAACATACTGTGACCAGAATAGACATGGCCCCTGACCTCATGGAGACCCCCACCTGGTGGAGGAGATAGACACCAATAATAAATACCGGTAACTCTTCAAGCACAGAAATGGCGAGCGCTATGGGGTAGAGAGAGAACGGGATGGGTGGGGCACTGCCCAGGAGAGAAAGAGCCAGTTCTATGGGTCCTGAGCACTGAAGGCGGCTGGGCGCCCCAGTGGTGAGCACCATCTTCCCAGGTGTCACTCAGCACAGCTGGACCCACTGCCACAAACCCCCTCCAGACTTCCCACCCTCTCACCTGGCCTAGACCAAGGGGACACTTCTCCCCCCATGCCCCTGCAGAGAAGTGTGGGTGGGCACTCTCCGGGGGAGGGGTGCTGGCCTGGGCTCTGAGATGCCTGCAGGATGGCTGGCACGCGAGCTCTGGGGCAGCTGGAACTCAGACATGTGCATTCAGATGCCGCGGAGCCAAGGCCGCCAGAGCTGACCCCAGGGGACAGCATGTGGGGAAAACTCTGCGAGAACCGTGTTTATCACCCCTGCCTCAATGGTCATCCCGATGCCTGCAGCTTCTGGCTGCTTCTGTTCATGTGGCTTTCCTTTCTCTCTGCAGGCCGTGGAGACCAACCTGGCTTCCAAGGACAGCCACTGGGTCTTCGTCAATGAGGTAGGAGCCCAGAAAGGGGAGGGCGTGCCTTCACTAAGCCTCCCACCCTTGGGGAAAGTGGGGATGAGCTTTTCATGTCCAGTTCTGACTAGGGGTGCTGCAGTGGATTCCAGGCTCCACTGCGCCCACACAGGAGGTCGGAGACCTGCCAGGACCTGCCAGGATGCTCTGGGGCAGGTGGGAACCAGGGAACGCGTCTGCACTTGAGGCACAGACAAGCCGAGTGTCACACAGAAGTTGTATCAGGTGTTCCGTGAGGGTGAGGGAGGCTGGAGCGACTAGGGTAGGCTAGAGAATGGGGGCAGAAGAGGGGGACAAAAGAATGAGAAGGGACAGAGGCTGCATTTCCTGCAGGAGGTTGCAGGTGTGGGTGTCACCCGACTGTGTGAGCATACTAGTACATGTATGTAGAATGTGTGTGCAAGTGTGTACGGATACATGTGTATGCATAAGTATGTTTGTGAGTGTGAGTGCGTGTGCACATGTGAGTACAGGTGTGGGAGTGTGCACATTCTCAACCAGCTAGTGGGGCCGGATGATTTTAACATTTAAAGGCGGTGAATGAGAAGTCTCCCCACTGACTGCCTGTCCCACTGATTTGGCCCTGGAAGGCATGGCGACACCAGGTTCCTCTGTGGCTTGGCAGCCTCTTCAATAATCACGCCCCGGCCTCCTCCTGGGTAGGTGTTGCAGAGGAGAGGGTGTAACCACATGTCAGCTCTCCTGAAGGATCCCCCACTCCCTCCTCCTCCTCCTCCTCCTCCTCTTCCTCCTCCTCCATCACCATACGCCCACCCCCTGAAGGATTCCTCCTCCTCCTCCTCCTCCTCCTTCTCCCCTTCCTCCTCCTTTTCCTTTTCCTCCTCCTCCTCCTCCTCCGATTCATCAAATGCCCACCTCCTGAAGGATTCCTCCATTTTTATTGATTTCAGAGAGAAAGGGAGAGGCAGAGAGAGATAGAAACACCAATGATCAGAGAGAATCATTGATCAGCTGCCTCCTGCACTCCCCACCCTGGGAATCGAACCTGCAACCTGGGCAGGTGCCCTGACCAGAATTGAACATGGGACCCTTCAGTCCACAGGCTGACGCTCTATCCACTGAGCCAAACCGACTAAGGCTGGGCTAGATTTTTTTAAAAATATATTTTATTGATTTTTTACAGAGAGGAAGGGAGACAGATAGTCAGAAACATCGATGAGAGAGAAACATCGATCAGCTGCCTCCTGCACACCTCCTACTGGGGATGTGCCCGCAACCCAGGTACATGCCCTTGACCAGAATTGAACCTGGGACCTTTCAGTCCGCAGGCTGACACTCTAACCACTGAGCCAAACCGGTTTTGGCAGGTCTAGATTTTTGATGATTACAAAAAAGGCTGCTATGAACATTCCTGTGAAAGTCTTTGTATGGATACCTGCTTTCATTTTGGGGTGCATATTTACACGTGGAATTGCCGGGTCAGATGGTAGATACATGTTTGACTTTTTAAGACTCTTTCAAGTTTGAGAAGTCCTGTGCCTTTGCGCCTTCTCCTGTCCCGGGGTGATGGGCTCGGACCGGCCATTGGAGTGGTGTGTCTGGCGCTGCGGTGCTTGTGACTTCATTTCCCGACCGATGCCAAGCATCTGCCTGTGCTTAGTTGCCTTCTGTATCTGCATCTTACTTGGGGGGAGCTGAGATCATGGATTTACACTACACATTTCATTTAAGTGATTTAATGGCGTCCCCCAAATTTTGATATGTGTGTATTCATTGTTATTCAGTTCAAAGCACTTCCTGTATTACCTTTGATTTCTTCTTTGACCCATGGCTGCTCCAAGGTGTGTTACTTAGTTTTCCAATATTTGGGGCTTTTCTCTTCCTGATGTTTAATTTAGCTCCATTGTAGGTAGAGAACAGTTTCTACTCTTCGACTCCTGTTAAATCTACTGAAACTTATTTGCAGTCCAGCGTATGGTCATTCTTGATCAGTGTTTCCCGTGCATTTGAAGGGTCTGTGGTTGCCCTGTGAACGCAGCCAGGCAATGTAGCTGATGGTGTTGTGTGTGTCTTCCGCATCCTTGGTGGTTTCCGTCCACTCGTTCCCAATTATTGAGGGAGAGGTATCAAATATTCCACTTTAGTGTGACTGCCTCGCTCTCTTTGCAGTTTTACCAGTTGCTGTGTAATATATTTTTAGGCTTTTTTCTAAGAGGCATAAATGTTTAGGATTTTATATCCAGTTGGTTAATCAACCTGTTATCATTATGAAGCAACTTTTTGCTGTGAAATACACTTTATCTGATATTACTGCAGCCCTTACAGATTCGATTAGCACTTTTAACTGATTTGTTTCGTTATGTTTAAAGTACGTCTCTTTTTTAAAAATATATTTTTATTGATTTCAGAGAGAAAGGGAGAGGGAGAGAAAGATAGAAACATCAATGATGAGAGAGAAACATTGATTGGCTGCCTCCTGCCCACCCTACACTGGGGATCAAGCCCACTCCCAGCCATGTGTCCTGACCAGTAATCAAACCATGACTTCCTGGTTCATAGGTTGACGCTCAATCACTGAGCCGTGCCAGCCAGGCTAAAGTATGATTTTGATGGCCTTTCATACTTGGGTCTAGCTATGTTGTCCTTTCTAACAATCTGCTTTTAGTTGAAATTCTTAGATACTTTTTGCTCAGTTGGAGCACTGATATTGCTGATGCAGGTGGGGTCCTGGAAGCCACGCGAAGGAACCGTTTCAAACAGGAGGAGGGATCCAGGCTGCTGCATGGGATGTGATCACCTGGGGCTGCAGGAGGGTTGGGTTGGGATACTGAGTCCCTGGGACCTTCACCTTGTGCTCTCCCACTTGAAGGCACGAGGCAGCTCAGAGACTCGATGGCTCTTCAGTGTAACTTAATCAGGGCAGAGGCAGGATTTGAACTTAGGTATGAATGACTCCAAATGCCAGAAACGGCCTATGCCACTGCCCCCTTACCTGTGCCCCCCCCTTCCCCCCGCTGGGCACACTGAATGCTAAATGCCTGACTAATTCCCAGCAATGTTTGAAATTTGTCATAATTTGGAAGCAGTAATAACTTGTTGTGGAAAGTTTTATTAGAAAACATTTATTTTTCATTGTTATATTTATGCCCGTTATTCCCTTTTTGTTATTTGACCTTATTTTAAAAAACGGTACAAAAGGTCAGGAAGAGGCTAGTACCTGTCACATGACCATGTCTGCAGGGAACAAGGCCGGTTGCCTCGAATCGTGTCTGAGACGCAGGACAGCTGCCACGCTGTGTTCTCAGGGCCTCTGCAGGCCCGGAGGCGCCAGGCTGCCGCGGCCGCGTTGGGAGGGCTGAAGGCTGGTTTGGCTCCACTGGCCACTCCTGTGACTTGGCCAGCTGTCTGGCTTCCTCTGTGAAGCCAGTTTCCTCCTCGCAGGGCTGCTCAGGGAGCTGCGGAGGCGCGGCAAGATGGCTCTGGTTTACAGCAAGCACTCTGATTTTACTCTTTTTAAAACTCTTCATTGTTGAAGGCATTACAGCTGTGCCCTCCCTCACCCCCCTATGCCCCTTCTAGCCGCCCCACCGCCCCAGGCCTTCAGCACACCGGTCCCTGTCCAAGGGTCATGCATGTGTGCAGACAAGTTCTTGGGTTGCTCTCGCCACCTGCCTTCCCCTGAGGCTCACAGTCTTATCCATGTGGGGGCACTCTTCCATCAAAGGACAGCTTGCCTTCCAAACATGGCAGGGCTGTGGGCCTTGTCCTGGGACCATCCTCAATGTCAGCGGCCCCAGCAGTGATCCCAGCGCTCAGCATCCTCTGAGGAGCGGGTGGGCTGGCCTCCTTCTCCAAGCCTTTCCTTCCTCCTCTCAAGGACAGCCCAGGCCTGGCTCTTCCAGGGCCCAGCCTCCTCCTCCGGTCCTGTCTCCACACTGGGCCTGGCGACTGGTCTCCTGGGGACCAAACAGAGCCCCGCCGGGCACTGCGCCACCGAGGAGAAGCCAAGAGGCGCTTCTCATCCGCATGGCGTCCTGGTGAGGAACATACATGGCCCCCCTGCCATGGGCAAAGCTGCAGGAGCTAGTCAAGCCCCACGCACTAGGAGGGAGGAGCTGGGAAGGCCTGCCTGCTGATGGCACTGTCAGGAGTGAGTCAGGGTTCCCACCGCTGCTGTGTGTGGAGTTGTGGGGGGACACTCAGAAGGGAGTGCTGGCAGAGTCTTAACAACCGCTCACATAGCGCGCCTGCCCATTGGTTTCCTGCCCATCACTCTTCCCGCCCCTTGGCTTCCTGCCCATCACGCTTCCAACCCATCACTATTCCTGCCCATCACTCTTCCAACCCATCACTCTTCCTGCCCATCACTCTCCCTGCCCATCACTCTTCCTACCCATCACTCTTCCTGCCCATCGGCTTCCTGCCCATCATTCTTCCTGCCCATCACTCTTCCTGCCCATCGGCTTCCTGCCCATCATTCTTCCTGCCCATCACTCTTCCTGCCCATCGGCTTCCTGCCCATCATTCTTCCTGCCCATCACTCTTCCTGCCCATCGGCTTCCTGCCCATCATTCTTCCTGCCCATCACTCTTCCTGCCCATCGGCTTCCTGCCCATCATTCTTCCTGCCCATCACTCTTCCTGCCCATCGGCTTCCTGCCCATCATTCTTCCTGCCCATCACTCTTCCTGCCCATCGGCTTCCTGCCCATCATTCTTCCTGCCCATCACTCTTCCTGCCCATCGGCTTCCTGCCCATCATTCTTCCTGCCCATCACTCTTCCTGCCCATCGGCTTCCTGCCCATCATTCTTCCTGCCCATCACTCTTCCTGCCCATCGGCTTCCTGCCCATCATTCTTCCTGCCCATCACTCTTCCTGCCCATCGGCTTCCTGCCCATCATTCTTCCTGCCCATCACTCTTCCTGCCCATCGGCTTCCTGCCCATCATTCTTCCTGCCCATCACTCTTCCTGCCCATCGGCTTCCTGCCCATCATTCTTCCTGCCCATCACTCTTCCT